TAGCCTTCAACTCCAGAGATATGAGAGGCTAAAAATAATCATCTGGCAACGAGTGCGCAACATTCTTAGAAAAACAAATAATACAACAAAATTCCCACACCAATAGGTGGAATAAAGAGCCGCACTGATACAGTAACTTAACTTCTTCAGTGTATCGCTCCTTGGTGCTGATTGGCTGACCATCAGCACTGACCAAACCGTAAACTAACGTTATCATTGGATAAAATCTATGACGTGAACTGATGCGTGATGCAACGGCAATTTTAAGTGAAAGTGACCTGGCGATCAAAAATAATATCGAGTAACAATGTTGAAACGTACCATCAGTAAAATAACACCTCAACTTCAACACACCCGAATCAACAACACTCTGAAATAATATTTCCTTTCTTGCAAATCTAACAGCTTTTACTTTCACGCTTATGAATGCAACTGTTCTATGAAATCTAACGTCAACATCGATATCTCATAACTTTTCAAGAACAACATCTATTACAGTTAAAGCTCTTGAAAGTGTTCTTCAGACGATGCGAATGATGAAATAAATTCACTCGTAAAGAAACGGAAGCAAACGTGTAAAAGCGGTATTTGAAATGCGTGAACATTGCTTTTCAATTGACCAATAAAAAGCGATAAAACAATGAACCGATTCACTATTAAATAAACAAATTCATAACGATTATGAAATACGTATAGCGTACACACTAAAACGTCACTGCTTGATCATAAATTCAATTACGAAATATACAAATATGGCAAAATGCTTTACACCAACAACAAAGACCATTTCTGGAGCGTGCACGTTTGCTTTTGATCATTCATGTCACATACTCTAAGCGCATTTTTCATCGATTATCACGGGACTAGACTATGATGAATATCCAAAGTTTTTGGTAGTGTATTCAGGTGCACACCTCACTATATGATTATTCGGTAAGTAGAGGAAATGAGAAGCTTAAATGAGCGTTTCCTTACGGAATCTGAATGAAGTCACGAAACTTAAGTTGTGAAGGTCGTCGTGCGGGTTCCTAACAACCATCGATACTAACAATAAGTGTAAGCAGTTTATCGACCAAAATCATAAATGTAGAGCATTGTAGGTCATTTGAACTCTTCAGCATAATCGAATGGTGTTTCGAAATTACAAATTGCTTAATTCATTTGCGCATTTTCACAAAATAAACAATAACACTAGCGATTTGCGCAATATCCGTACGACGAACGACTGCAATGCGGTACAAAAATTCCTCTTGAAAGCTACGAAACGATTGAATTTATTGATGGTTATGATGAAAGTTTCTGTTGTGATTTAACTTTCGCTAGGTTGAAACGAGCACGAAACATGGCCATTTGGGCATCGTCCATAATCACTGTACAAAGCAGAAAGTTGCCGTCATCTATAGGAATGGGTTCCTTGACCAAAAGCGACTCTTTGTAGAGGTACGCTAAAGCCGGTGAGCCGGATCGAAGCTTCATATGACGGACGACACTACCTCGCAACGCCATCACTTTCTGCAATCAGACGACATATATCATCAAAAATCATACGCGAATCCATTATCAATTTTTAAGACATGCTCCACATTTCCTCATGTGAACAATATGAGTTTCATTGTGTTACTTATAATTTGTTCACTAATCGTAAGTCAATGTATCGTTTCACCTGAACAGATCATGCTAACATTAACTTATCGTTTATTCTCAATGAAATAAATGAAATAAGACTTTGAGTTTGGACAATTGAGATCAAATCATCCAACTCGACTCGAAAATGCTCTAAAAAGTGATCTCTTTTGACTGAAATGAAAACAGACTAACTCTATTCATCAAAGACTTAAGCGGACAAAGTTATTTAATGGATCGAAACTGCTTATTTGAGGAAGATAAAAGTTAGAAGTTGCAAACAAAAAAAGTGGATAATATATTAAAGACGACACCTTGTCAATCTCAGCGATCAATTGCTTAATGCCAAAACTATTCACACACGACACATTGAGAAGATCGCACTGTTCTTCCACTTTGCTCATATCAATTTTATCACATTTATTACCGATAAAAATAATCGATTCTATGAGTGAACGTTTCACATCCAACGCTTCCAGTGTTTCCAAAACAATTTCACGTTGTGCTTTCCTATCAGGATGTGACACATCTTCGACCATCAACAGCAAATCCTAGAATATCCACGAATACGCGACGGATAACCTTAGTCACCAGCATAATGCTCTGTTTCCAGGCTACACACAACCCTCATTGATATACCACCGTCTCGTAGCTTTTTCCGAAATTTCGCACAAAAATGCATCCAATATAAGAGTTCACGACAGGTTTGCTTTTCAAATGAAGACCTCATTTATCACCGGGCAATTTGGTGTATAATTTCTTAGTCAAATATTCAAAATTTATGTGATTTGTAATACACTTCTGATAAGTTCGATGAAATTATTACAGCGTTAAGCACATGACTCAACGTGGCACGGAAGGAGGCAAACAATTGCACTGGTAAGTCCGAGATGAAACCGATTGTGTCTGTTAGCAGGATCGGTATACCGGATGGTAATCGACAAAAATGACTTGATGCATCCAAGGTAGCGAAAAGGCGATCTTCCACAAATATTGACTCATTACCGGTTAACCTGAAATCACGAGATTTCTGAATCTAGAAGAACGAAAGTTACGAGTAATGAATTGAGGATTTTCATTACATGAATCCAATAGCCAACTATGAAAATTGCACTTTAGCGTATTGACGAAAACATAAAAGAGCGACAAAAATAAAGAAGAAAAGAGCTGAAGAATTAAAGTCAAATAAGGTTAGAATAAAGGAATGAGTTATCACAATAGTGATAACGCTATTAATTGGTAATAATCATTAATGATAAGGATTGATAATAAAACGAACAAATTAAAGAGATTATTTGATATAAACACACGTACACACGTGGCAGAAGCTCATTCCCTTCGTCACCCCTCACCCCACCCCACCCCCTCCTCCCCTCTGTTCGTACGAGTAACCAAAGTCTAGGAACGAGCTTCTGGTGTTCTCTTTCACACAACAAATAAATACCTCCTAATCAAAGAACTTTTCCCAGCATTCGTATATCCAACAAGTGCGACAGTTGCAGCAATACCACGTTGACTAGTCTCTTCGCTGACTGTTGTCTCCTTCTCTTCGACAGCCAATTTTAATCGTTTGCGCAATGATTGCTCACGATATCGAAGTATTTCCAGTGTACCATTCCTATTGAAATGAATGAAGAGCATGAAAAGCTTCAATATTCTCTAAGACATTGGCAATATTAGTGTCTATACTACGATACAGTGAGGATATCGTGCCACTGACACATCAGTTCTGAGTTAACGTTTAGAGTAAAGTTGATCATCGCAATGCGATAATTAGCGATTTCGTTTCGTTTTCATTCATCGCTTTTAAGTGGTTCAATTAAACTTAGTTATTTATTTATTAGTCTGAAAAACTAAAGCGATTCTGTGGAAATATTTCAGTTACGATTGACAATTAGTGATCGCGTCACAAATGTGAACGGATTTCGCTTTTCCACAAAAGAAACATTGGAATCGAAGAGTTTTACGGCACGCATACCTATTGGAAACTGGAAAGTTGATATGAAAAGCTGAAAGATTTGTTCGTTCCGTATTGATGGATTTCAGGCGATGACTGAAAATTACGTTACTCTACTATCGCATCATAAACGTGAAGATA